GTTCACGTGCTCAGAGGCTGTTTGCCTCATCGCACTTGTGGCTTTGCTGACAGCCAGAAGACCGGCCCGTGTCCACAAATGAGCAGTTTTCAGCTCAACTCCAAATTGGACTCCCAAGCGCTCCAGGAGAAGGGGCAGCACAAAGCAATCACTGCCCTACAAGCACATCACTATCTTCTCCATACTGGACTGCCACAATTGGCCTTGGGTTTCTAATACGCAGGTCTAGATGCGTCTTTCCGCTTGCTGTCCTGCTGCAGAAACACTCCCCTCCAGCATCTTTTTTACTTGATGCCCAGCACTGTGACTGGCAGCTCCCATGCCCACAGCCACGTCTTGCTCTCCTGGGTCGCAAATCACCCTCCTCGTCCTAGTGCTACATATATTCTCCCCATTCTCCCCTGACCAGTCCCAGGTTGCTCCATGGTTTTGCTCCCTTGGAGACAATCGTGTCTTGTCACCTGCCCAAGCATCACTAGGGTGTCCCAGGCTGGCCTGGTTTCAGATCTCTAGTGTCCTCATCCATTCCCTCCTCTCTTGAGATGCTGAACCAGACACTACCGCTGGCTACTGCGTTTCCTCCTCGGCTGCCTCTCACCTTCCACAGTCTCCGACTGTTGACCCCACAGGCTGGAAAGACAGCTGAGCCTCTGGCTCCCTTCAAAACCTCTCACCCGATCTGGAAGGCCCACGTGCAGGGCTGAGCGTGCTGGTGGCAAGGTCTAATGGCTACACTGATTCCGGAGGATGCAATAACCCTCATCTCTAGTTTTCCATTTTTCCTCTCATTATCCTTCCCTCCTCTGATTTCATCTGCCTGGAGGACCTCAGTGTATTTGGTGAGTTACCCAGTAAAAGCATCAATCTATACTTTTCCCTTCTGTTTATGCTTTGATGTCTCTTCCATCCCGGTCTTTGTCTCATGTTTTAGAACCAAAGACCATAACCAGGAGTTATGGCAGGAGAAGAGCTAACAGCACGCTTAGCAGATGCTTACCTGAAACACCTTCCGGTTCCTGACTTCGCCCCTGCGGTGGGCACTGCTCCCAAGGACATGACAGTCACAAATTTGAACAGAGGGCACCCTTGAAGTCTGAATAAAAGGGAAGCAGGTGCCACAGAGGTGCCTGCCAGGGAAAAATAACAAAGGAGAACAATAGCAAGCAACAGAGAGCCCAGCACCCCGAAGTACCACCAGGAGACTCACAGGACTGATTACAGCTTAGGTGAGGGCTACGGTTCCCGAGGATTTGAAGAGCAGAGCAAAGCTATTTGCGATTAGAGATGGTGAGCAGTTAAGAACATTTTTTTTTCTCAAAAATGAATGTCTGAAAAGCCTGTCTTTGCTTTTAACACGCACTTTCTCAGCAATATTGCCCCCTCCAAAAGGCTTCTCCTTCCACTGTCAGCTGTCAGAACAGCTCTTCCCCAACAACTGTAGGCTGCAGCAGCTAAACCTTCCTCGGATTTATCTTCTCATTGCTCAGTCAGCTGTTTGCAACATCTAATACCATGGATCAGGTATGATTCATGGCCCAGATATTGGTCCCCAGAGCTACTAAGCTCCTTCTAGTCAGTCTTGACCTGTCCCAGGTGCCCGTGGTCAAATAGCCATCAGGCTGTACCTGCAGAGGATGTTCCTTTCTGACAGCTTAACGATGGACTGGCAGCTCGAAGCAATCCTTTGCAAGAGCGGTATTTCACTGGGAATTCACTCGAATAACCTGGCCTCTCAGACTGACTTCTGGTTTGCTCTGTGACACCGAGTGAAAGTCTCTATACCACTTTTCCCATCCGTGGAGTAGACAGTGTCTCTCAGTCACCTCTGCAAGCATTCGGGTATTTGGAAACCAGGCAGGTGGGCTGATTTGATGTTAACATCCTCCTTGCAGTGCTGAATTTTTCAGACTGAATCACTTTTTTTTTTTTTAAGGGCTTTCCATTTAACTCCAGCTTTCCTTCCTAATTGTTTAATTGAGGTAGGAATTATTCTGTCACGGAAGGGCACTTGCTGATGGTTTACCCTATGTTTCATTAATGCACACAAGAGGTTAACTCCTGGTAGAGAAATAGATGCTTGGTTTTAACAGTAGGGAAAAAAAAAGACTCAAATTTGCTTTCTACTCCTGCACTAATTTGTGACTATTTTTATCAACATTAACATTGAGCCAGGGTAAAAATACTCCCTAGAAAGTTTAGAATTTACATTTGTCTTCATATATATTCAGCAGAAATCTAGCTTCCCAGCCTCCGCACTGCCTAATCTTGATTCATTAGCTTCACCTGCCCCCAAGAAAAATGTCAGATGACTTTGGCCTGGTGAAGCACTTCACCCACAAACGCACAGAGGGAGGATCTAAAGCACCGTGCTCGCCTTTTGGCAACAAGCTATCTTCACACTGCAACAGCTCTGACAGTGCAGGTATCTAACTTGCCTATCTGCCCAGGTTCCCCCTTCCTACACAGCCTCACTACAAGCAAAGTCTCCTGGGGGGGGGCTCCATCCTGAAAGGATGCTGAGCGCAGGCAAGCACCTTCTAGAGTATACTCTACCTCCAAGGACCTCAATTCCTGTCCACCAAACTTCTTTTCTTGTCATCATTTTCATCCCTAATCAGACCTGGAAAGCACATTCAGAGGTTAGGAAACCCCACGATACCTGCGATGAAAATATATGCCCAGATTCCAGCGCTCTGAAGGCCCAGACTGCACAGCTCAGGGCAGTTCTCCCGTCTTTGCGTCCCGATGTAACAGCCTTTCCCTTGGGCTAGCTCTCATCTTTCCACCATGTGTGGCTCCAGGCAGATCTAGCAGCTCTGTGGCAACCACAGAGCAGCAAAGCTGTGTGGAGAGTGCTGCAGGTCTTGGGGGACATGGCCAGCGACATGACCTTTGCTTCAAATATCTCTGCAGCAAAACCCAGGGCTCTAAGAGCCCCATTTTTGTTTTTCTGTGACCACCTCTTAGCGGTTACAGAATCACAGAATAGTTGAGGTCGGAAGGGACCTCGGGATTGTCTAGTCCCACTCCCTGCCTCAAAGCAGGGTCAGCTAGAGCAGGTTGCTGTGGTCAGTCAGGTTTGGAATATCTCCAAGCATGGGAACTCCACAACATCTTTAGGCAACCTGTTCCAGTGTTGGACCAACCTCACAGTGAAAAAGGTTTTTTTTTTCCTTATCTTTAAACGGAATTTCCTGTATTTCAGTTTGCCTCTCATCCGCTCACTGAGCAACCCCGAGTCTAGCTCTGTCTTCAGGCTTTGAGGAGACTTCTTCAGTTTTACAGAAAAGGGCGTGCTTCTGCCTGTGTGCAAAACAATCCAATTTGCAGGGTGAATCCAATTTGCTATTCTACATGGCAAGTACTGGCCCAGCTCTATCGCAATGCTTTGACCGGGAGAGCTGCTCGAAGGGGAACTCAGGAAGTCCCCATGCTTTCTATGAAACACAGGAGAGAAAGGGTGCTTGTACAGAAAAAGGGGCCAAGAGCCCCCAGTGGCATCCACCAGCAAGTGAGAGCAGCCTCTGATCGGATCAAACAAGGGAAATATCAATGAACGACAACTGTTTCCCCGCTTCTCCCACTCTGAGCCATTAGTAGGCTCCCTGGGCTCCAGGCTCCTTCCAGGGTATGAACTGAAGGACATGTACCTCTTTACCAACAGGGTTAAAATGAGCAGACACATAAAACCATGTGCCATCGATCCAGTCACCCGGAGGAAATCTTCCCGTGTGCAGGATCAGAGCAGAAAGCAGCTCTGATGGGCCCTACGGCATTAAACACTTGAGACTCTGTCACTGCAATGATGGAGCAGGACAGGATATTCATGGGACTTGGAAAGCCAGTAGCATACGCTCTCAAGCCTGTCTCAGCTTGGAGAGGAAGGCAGATTGGAGGCTGATGCACAGCCTGCAGTTTAATGTGTGCTTACATAGCCCATCTCTCTTAAGTCCTCCTTTTGTCTGCCATAAAAAGCCCTTCCTCCCAGAAAACAGGCGGGCATGCCCCAAGAAAGCGAATGCGGGACCTGCTGGTGTTTCTGAGCGCCTCAGCTCTGACCTGCTTGTGTCTCTGTTGCCCTCCCCGCTCCAGGCTGGATCTGCAGTTTCAGCATCCTTGGCCAGCCCCCCCGCCACACGTCAGTTCCTCATCAGCTTCTCCCAGGCGGCTGGGCTGTTTTCAAGAAGCAATTTCCTGCAGGGAAATATTTCTTTTTCAAAGAGGCTAAGTGGTGAGCTTCCTGGTGCAGGCTTTTCACAGGAAACAATTGCGAAAGCAGCTTCACCACCCACCAGGAACTTCTGTAAATGAGCAAGGAGCCGGGCAGGGAGGGCGACCGCCGCACTCCCCGCCTGCAAGGCCCTCGGCTCCCTCCTGGAACGGGGAGTTTCCTGCCCCTGGGAAGCGCCTGGTGCCCCCTCGCTCACCTCGCCCAGGCTGCTGCCGGGATGCGGGCTTGCAGGGGAGCAAAGAGCAGCCAGACAGGAAAAGCTGGGATTTGAGAGACCGCTTTAGGGAAGGCAGACAGTAGGAGGAGAGAACCACTGCCTGGGGAAGGTGCTTCGCAGACCCCTCTGGCGCTAAGCCTCTCCCTAAGGTTGAGGAAGGAGCAGGAGATGAGAAGAGCCAAGGGAAAACACGACGACTTGGCTAGGCTTTGGCTAACCCGCGTTTGCTGTCTCCCTTCTTTTCACCCTTTTCCCTGAGTTCAAGCAGGGCAACCAAATACTGGACTAGGCTTATCTCCCCCTGCAGAGCTGGGCAGTCATAGCACCTGAGCCTCGTCCTGTGAGATGTCCGGATTTGAGACACTGGACCTGCTTCTCTGAAATGCAGACCCTGTCAGGACATCTCCCCACTGCTGAAATGATGATACAGCTCAGCTCAAGTCTGCTGGGGCACACGCAGGGTAGTCCTAGTGGCTTCAGCAGAGTTATTTTGCATTTACACCATGACAAGATCGGATTCTGACACAGCAACATGACAGTGCACCACATCTCTACCCATCAACAAAAACCCAAACTGTTCACAGCACCAATTAAACTCTTCTCCGATCTAGAGATACTGGGGAAGGAGGTTTCACTGGGCTGCAGCTTCTCACCGTGTGTGGCTTTAGAGTCAATTATTGTTCATATCGTTTTATTACAATGCAAAGGTTTTCCAGACAAACCCACCCCCCCCCCCCCGCCCCCAATCTCTGTTTTTCATTCAGCTAGGCTTTCTGGCTTGGATGTATTTTGGTGGCTGCTGCTATTTATGGCAGAGAACTCATACATTTTCCCCTGCTAATCCCATTGCCTTATTCCAGCCCATACTTTGGCCATTGCCTCCAGCTGGGTGTCCTGAGGGAACCATGCCCAGATTGGGATCACAAAGTGGAGGTGCAGTTCCTACCTCATCACGACACCATCTCCCTAGAGGCAGGGGTCCCAGTCTCCCTCTGAGATCAGGCACTGCCACCTCTCCCAAAGGGGAGCTCGTCAGGTGTTAACTAGCCAAGGCCCCCGGCTCCGCAGCACAGGCAGAAATGCAATGGGAGCCTGTAGCTGGTGGGACCCTGCTTCTGCCCAAGGCAGGGGCTTCTGCTGACTGCCCTGGCGCTCCGACTCGGGCTGACTGCCAGGGAGAGGCCAAAGCCAACGTTCAGCCCCAAGCACTGGCAACACAGCCTCCTGCCCTCCTTCGAAGACTCGCCACCTGTGCTGTGGCAGTACCTTTTTTTCATTGAGAAGTTTTGCCAGGCGTCCACAAAGATGCTCTGGTTCCTGATTTTGTTTCTTGCAATAAGTCCTCTAGTTTTGCAACTCCTCATTGCGATAAAAATAAAACTGAACACAACCGAGAACCCGTTTCCGTGGAGCATGTTGAGAGCGCGGGGCCGGTTGCCTTTCAGACCGCTGGAACATGACTTCCTCCCAGGGCTATTAATGCCAATGCCCAGCTGAACCCTACTGTTTTTCCCCAAAAGTTTAGTTTCCAGGAAACAAAACTTTGCTTATTTTGAAGACAAAATGTCTCAGTGACAGCCTATTTCTTGCAT